ATTCTAATGTTAAATACATTTTTTTATTCATTAGGAATCTAAGTAAATGTTGAAATTACAAGGCAAATAACTATACTTTAAATAACAGTGGGATTAAGATATTATTAGATTTTTACTGTCCACCATCGGGGTGGTAACGTCACATAAGTGCACATTACAACACAAATATGAGTGAAGGATGAATGCAGAATCGTGTGAGACGATCAGTGTAGCTTTTTACCTAATACAATCAGCTGTTTCATTAGTCATCTATTTAAAACTTAATGATAACTAAAAAAATTGCTGGGTCCAGTTTTGAACCATTAGAGAATCTTATAACACTTAAAACATATATTTACGCTTATACTGTTACTCACAAGACGGTAAATATACAAAAAAAATGGTAAGTGGTTGACCAAATGTAGACCAAATGTACCAATATGTAGACCAAATGTAGACCAAATGTAATAATTACGTTGTTGTTGTATGTTGTTTTACTATACATTGGATCTGAAGCTAGAAATTTAACTGTTTTCATTTGTTTAAGTACTATTAAAATAAAAAGCCATCAACGTATGGCAATGTAGGACTAGTTAATGCTGGAATAGTAAAAAAGTCTGATATATATCAGATTTTTTATTTATTCACATGTATAGTTTTTTTACTTATTTAAAAAAGGATATATTTCCCAGTATAGTTTTATTTCAAAGCAAAAATAAATAAATGAATATGAATTGTCTTTGCACTGATTTATGTTGCACAAACATATACAAAAGTTTTCAAATCTTGTAGTACTATATGAAACGATATACATCAGTGATTATTACAAATATCTTCAAAATAAACTTATTTGAATACATCAAATTGGGTTCTTTACTCATACTTAATTCTTTTTCACTTCTAATTCTTCTACATCACTTCATGACTCCATATTTAACATTACCTTTAAAACTCACCTTCAAAACCCCCTTTGAGGACTAGAAAGTTAAGTTTAACTCAAAATAGGAAAATGAGCAACTGTTCTTGATCCCATACTGATAAAGTCTCTTACATTCTGAAACTTTTCACTTTGAACTTTTAAGTGGAAGCTTCCACAAGCCTACAGTGTGTTTGAAAATTGACTTTTAATTCGAACATTAATTTGATTGTTATACTTTTTTCACCATAAAACCTAGCTTGAGTTCTAAATTAAATTGTATGTTCACATATAGTGGGCCTAATAGCTGTAATACTATAATAATGCCTAGTAGTAAAAACTATAAAAGTTAAACAACAGCTTCGCTTGAACATGCATCTACAATATAACACGATGAATTTCATCGTAATCAATATAATAATATTAAGGTATGAATTATACAATTTTGGGTTGATTAATGTCTCACTATTTTAGATACTTTAACAACAAATATAATTCAGTTACGTATTTTATTTAACAGTTTTGTCATAATAAACTTTTGTAAACTATTACATTTTGAGATTGTGTATAACTGAGTATGGGATTTTGAGAGGAAGTGTGAGAAAGGTAAAATACTACCCCAATGGTTTCCTCTATTCAAAACATACATTAAATTAGGTCAACAGAAAGTTTTAAGCGACTTTACAAAACACAAACATGATGGTGTAGAAGTAAGGATTCCACCGTGCATGTGCAACTTGCTTCTGACAGCAAATCTTTGGAACTATACCTTAAGTGTCGTTAAATAACCTATTATATTATAAAATAACATACTTTGCATATTTTCTTGTAATGCATTTGTGGCAGAAGTCACAAACGATATGATAAAAATTATGAATAATACTTAGGACTGTTTTATCACGCAAACATGTTTTACAACCACTCGTTGAACTAATGTTGGGTCATTAGGCAGTAAACATGGGGGAATGTTTGCAATAATCATTACATCGACCAGCCTCCTATGTACAATGAATAATGTAATACATTCATTTTCGAATAAAATTGACAGAGGAATGTAAACGTATTAGATGTTTGTTTAATACGTTTTTATTTGTTCCCGAAACAGTTTAACTAATCGCCGTACTAATTACCAGGGCTTAGACGAGAGGCTACAAAGAAGTTTAGTTAGGCAACAACTTAAAGGAATGAATTTGATTGATTGAAATTATAAGTATGAGAAAATATAACAACAATATTTATTTAAAACGAAACCGATGTTATAAATATTTATACAGTAGAACCTTGATAACAAGACTCTCATGGGGATTGTAAAGTAATACTTGTTATCATGGTTGACTTCTTATCGAGGTCTGTAATAACATGTGATTAGGGGTAAGATAATTTTAAGGGCATTTGAAAATAACCCTTGTTATCAAGGGCCACTTGTTATCGAGGGTCTTCTTATCAAGGTTTCACTGTATACGTAACATATACTTTGGACTTGCTAAACTTAATAAAAGCTTCTTTTAATCGTAAACCATTAAAATAAATATTGTATTTGTTAATTGGTAAATTTTTTCAGTTTTAAAATAAACAAATTATTCTTATCTGAAAAATATGCAAGACAAGGATTCCAACCTACCCCAACATGCATTGAATACAAAATGCTCTTTGAGTCTGCAATTTTGTGAATACAAATGCAAGAGCCATTGTCTTGCTTTTATAAATGGCTAATTGGGTATGCTTTTCTAGTGGACACTTATTTACTAGCGTATTAAATATAAAGGTTAACACGTTTTAACTATAAAAATAATGTTTTCGGATTTATTTGCTACTAATATAAAACGTGTCAACTAATTAATTAATTTACGTTCAATTTAGGCTAACAGAAGAGAATAGGGTCTGATGTTATCCCATTGTAGTCCATAGTACATACAATAGCGTATCCTATGCAATGCATTAGCTTTGGTTATCAATCCATACCTTAAGGACACATTACACTAATTGAAGAGCAGAATGAAGATGATATGAAGATGATTAGTATAGTAATTGGAGATTCAGATAATAAACATAATACATATTAGAGTACACCAATTTTTGGCAGATTTAATTACTTGACAACAGAAAAACTAGTTAACCGTAATTTAATCAGTAAACTATTTGAGAAATTTGCGTGATATTTTCTATCATAATTATTCGTATCGTATTGCCAACCAAAGTAAACTTTAAAATATTAACAATGGCTTCCTACTTCTTTGCAAGGTTGAAGTGCTGTACTAGGGCTTGCCAACAGAAGGATGTTGCTTTAGGCAGATCGGTGTGCTTGATTTAAAGGTTGAATTGGGAGAAGGATTAATAATAGTTTTTTGGTGGACATAGTCCTTTTTGGGGGAGCTAGATATCACGGCTTTTACGTCCAGGAAATATAATATGGGTATGGGGGTTTTTACTATGCCTTAAACTCTTTTCTGGATTTGGGATTTTAGTAAAATGCATTCGAAGAATATTGGTAGTGTAATCCACCCTTTAGTTTTCCATTCCTTTTACCATTTATAAATTTTTAATTAGGTATCCATGTTTTTAGGAGCTTTGAGTTAAAGATTTTATTAAGTTTATAGATTATTCAAAACAATTTTATGATTTTTTTAGCTTTGTTCCTGTGAAAAGGTGCCACAGATTCCATTTATCTTAGTAGGCTACCTGAAAAAAGCTTGATCAGCTGATATGAATATGCTCACTAATAACAAATTGTTTGTATGTATGGAATGGTCTTTGTTCTTCCTCATACGTGACTTCGGAGCGTACTCCTAGTAAAATAGTGAATATATCAACGAAGATAGGATTTTGTCGTTTGCTAAGTGAATTACATTATTTTAAACACATATACTAATTAGAGAACGGTTTGTTCCGTAGACCACGAAGGTCAAAACTTCTCATCAACAATTAGGACACAGACTGTCTGTACCGCACCCTAGTTTAGACACAATTTGCAGCAAACACTAATGAACAGCTGTTTGTTGTCTTTAGGGTCAAAAAGACCTTCTATCAAGTAATATTTGAACATGATGTATTGCTGCACTAGAAAGATATTTGTACGGACGGAACTTTATGAAACTTATTAAAATATAAACTTAAATTAGGTTTTAATCATACATTTCAGGTTAGGCAATTTTTTACACCAGTAGTATTAGTTGAACCTTGCATTCATTTATAAAACCAACAAATTAAAACTAAGCTTACTTCTGTAGCCTAAAATGGGGGTCACAACCCAAAGAGGGACATCAGTTATAACAAACCTTATCCAATATCACTAAATCTATACTATGTAAGAAACCCTGTACCAACGGTAATCATTAACGCAGACACTCTGTTAACATTACACTTAGTCGACCAGTTGGTGTGAACATATTTGAACAGTAGCATGAGCATAGATTTTCAAATTCCTTTCCCAGATGAAGTGAGATAGGCGATGACTGGTAGGGCTGACTTCTGAGAAACAACTATAACCTATGAGCCTTACACCCTATCAGTAATCAGCCAATGAGAAGGTCTAATGAAAAGGTTGGAGGGGTGACGAGTCTTGGAGGACCTAGGAGGAAAATTCTAGGAGGCTACCGAGGGCTGGAACGATGATTGGAGTGTGGTGCGTTGCTTCAAAGGACCATTGGCTGTATTTTAAAAATAAAAATAAATTAATGGAGATGTAAAATAATGAAGTCATATAATTTGTGATTAACTCATCTTTATATTTTTTTTAATTTTTTTTTGTAGTTTAACCTTGTAAATATTTCTCTTAATATTGTTGCTCTTAATTGTTATTTGGTGTTGTCACCTTTTGTAACTTATTTTGTTTTCTTTATTTATTTGTTTTATTACATGTTTAGTCACACCTGTAGCAGTCTTATGTCTCTTGCACCCTTTTACCTCTCTAAAACTGCTAAGCGAGTGTAACTTTAAGAGAGGCTTGGGACTCGCAATTATTAGTGTATAGATAGAAAACCCATTTTTTCGTACGTATTACATTCTCAAAATGTCTATGAATACATATTAGCATAATATTAAAAACAGATTAAATTGAAACCTAGATTCATTAGGAAAACTTTAAAAATAGCACAGCAACACTAACTTGTTTTAATCTTTTTTATTATTTTCTTAAATTTTAACTGTTAGGAAAATGTTTATAACATCTTATAATAAGGTTCAAAAGACTACATATTTAACACAGTATATTATAATCCGGTATAATAGTAGAAAATAAAAATATCCATATTCTACAGTTTGTGTCTTTTTAACATATACAGGTAAATATGTATTCTGGAACTCCAATATATATATATTAACAATCCTAAATCTTACAGCATGTACATTATGTAATACGAATTTCACATTTTATTGTAACTTATTTAGGCCTACATAACATTGAAATTATAATTGTAAATAATGTAAAATAGGTTATTTAACATATCTACAGGCATAGATTTGTGATTTACCTACTGTTTCTGTAATGGCATTTGAGTTACAGCTTTAGATTTGTCCAAAATCTCGCATATCCCGTAAACAGAGAAAGCACCAATGTTGCATTTCCAGGTGCAGCAATCGTAATCGTGGATACACTGCAAAATAATAAAAATATATCTATTACCTTTTCAATGTCTGGTTTTTGGGATATTGAATAACTCACATACTAATAATAATTATATACTAAAATAAATTAAGTATATTGTACTTGTTATTATTTGATACGCTAGTTTAAAACAGTATAAAATAACAATTATACTAAGGTGAGTTTTAATTGTACCCTACTTAAAATATAAAAAAAAATCAAACATCAATCCCACCATAATTCCAAACATAAATGGGTAGTAAGTATATCGTGTTGACAAGGTAGTCGTTTTCGGCCAACATCTTTGTTCCGCCATATTGGATGCAAAATATTTTTTAAAGTTAAATTGGGGTTAAGACCCACTATTTCAAATTAGAATTTTATTCATTTTACAATGCCACAATACCGTTTTTTTAAAATCTTGATCCATCTTTAAGTTATGGGGGCTTTAAGTAACTTTATTTTTAGCCCATTTTAAAATTACAAACTAAGACCATAATCTCAAAATAGTGCTCGTTAAAGATAAGTATACACCACCAGTCATTGTTGACCTATTTTCACTTGGTTATGACGGATGTAATTATTCGGCCACCATCTTGGGTCCCCCATTTTGAAATGTGATAGTTATATATTTCATCACAAGGGCCTAAAGTGACAATTTTTGACCTGAGGACAGGTTTTACGATCGACGCGAAGCCGAGGTCGGGAAATGAGCGTGGGTCAAAAAGACAGTTTTTTTTTCTCCGTGTGGTGAACTATATTTTTTGTAATTTTTTGCACAATTAATTAACAAACTAAGCTAGAAATCAATTTGTATGAAAAGATAACCTCTCAAAACGACATCTAGGTGGTTTTCAATTATTCTGCTAATGCAAATAAGCAGCTGTCAGCTTCAGTGATTCAATAATTTCGTCTGTTACGATTGTGTAAAGTAAATTATACCATCAATATTTCGAGTGATCGTCAACAATAGGCTAACCTTAAAATAAATCGATAAATAATTTCGATTGATAAGAGAGACTAAAAATGATTTTTACTCCCTAGAGAATAAAAAAGATTTTTACTCCCTATAGATTAAAAATTCTACTTTAGACCCGCAACGCATGCATTTTTAAAAACGGCCGTATTTTGCTGCAGTATGATGATAATTATTTTAAATATGAAGGTTGTGTTGTGATCCATCACTTCGAATTACTTTTTTAAGCTTAACTCAATGCCGGAATCCGTTTTTAATTTTCATATTTTGTTTCTGAAATAATGACATTGAAAAACAATTCAATATTTCACAAAGAAAACTTGTTAACAAAAAGCCGATCGTGGCATTGAGTTTCAGCTTAAAAAAGTAATTTAAAACTATGGGAGACAACACCACCTTTATATTTGAAATAATGTATCGCATTTCAAAATGGTGAATCCGAAATGGCGGCTAAGAAATTACATCCGTCATATTCAAGTGAAAACAGGTTAACCATGACTAGTTGTATATACTTATATTTCTCTAGCACTATTTTTGATTATGGTCTTACAATATTAAAACGACTAAAAATAAAGTCATAAAAAGCCCTCATAACTTTAAAATTGATCAAGATTTTTTAAAACAGATTCCAGTATTGTAATCAGGGCAAACGTTTAGTTTGAAAATGGGTCACAAGTCAACCTTTAAATTTTAAAACGATATTTTGAATCCAATATGATGGCTTCAAGATGGCGGCCGAAAAAGAACACCTTTTCAAAATTAAGTACTTACTACCCAACAATGTTTAGAAGTGGTCTGGGATTGATATTTGAAAAATGTTGAATAAAGTTGAAGCGGAGCAATTAAAAAACTCTCCCTTTAGGTAATGGTTGATAGTTTATAGAAGATCCTAATGTAAACCTATGTAGAATAGTTGTATAGTTTTTAACATACGTATGGTTAATATAATAATGTTTATTCAAGTAACTGTCACATTATGGCATGACAAATTAAATGGGAAATTCCTACCGTATAACTACAAAATGTTTAAGACAAGCAATAATGGATCAATATACTTGCAGCTAGAGCAAGATAACTTAAACACTTTTAACTGTAACATTTAATACAATTAGGGCCTAATTACAAATTACAAATTGACTAGAATTTTATTAGCTTTAAGCGATATTTTATGAATTGAGGTACTTACCCGAAATCCAACATTAAAGCATTTATACTTGTGTTTAATATATTTCTGTTTCTTAACTTTCTCTTTTGTTTGGACATCGTATGTAAGATAAAGTAAAATTAAACACCAGACAAAAACCTTTCTAATTACGTCGCATTTCGCCATAGAGCGTTTAAATTAAGCACCGCAGTGTGGTAAAAATAATCTTCATTGGTAATATCACAAATCACGAATCGATATTTTATATCACTAGAGTGAAGATTAATAACCACCATCCGATTTAATCATCGTTTGTAAATGGACACGGTAATTTACGTAATTAGGAGCATGAACTATAAACAGGGTTAAGTACCGGCATGAATGGTTTCAATAAACACTTAAAGATTTTCTGTTAGGCAGTACTTTTGTTTGAACTGAAATGTTTGTCAATGGAAAGATTATTAAGTTGATGAACAAGCGAGAGTTACCGTTATGGAACTAAATTAATCGTTGAATTTTATTTACGACAACTATTTTAGTACATGATATCATAAAAAATCTAATAAATAATTGTAGTTTTTACCTTTTTTAATAGGCCGAATATGACTTTCATAATATAATGTGTTTTGTTGTAGTAATACAGAACAATGGTTTTTCAAAGAAAAATTTTATTTTTTACCTTAGTTTTTCTGTTTTAAAACATTTAATAGTCTGAAAAAAATCTTAAGTTGTTAAAAATAATCCATAATAATAAGGTGCAATTTTTTTAATAATCCACAATAGGTGGACGCATAAGCCACGGGTCAGCATTATAACCACACAAATAATTACTATTACTGACTAGTAAGAGTTGAGAACTTAATGGCCGTGATAAGTGCAACAGTCATTGAATTATCCGTTTCTCTAAGGATAATTTAATATCACCGATAAAAACCTATTGACATACATTTAATAAACTGTCGTAATTACTTTGCAATTACTTAATAATTTTCAAATGTATTTCTTGGCAATGTGCCATGTACAGATACCCCCCTTAGGAGATATTCAAGAGTAATAAATCGAAGGAATTCTAATACCCTAGCCAAAATAGTATTGAGAGAGAAAAAGTTAAATTGTAATAATTCGAACTTAAACTAATCATCTGATCAGACAAATTGCGTTGTGTGGTACAATTAGTGTTTGGTACAATCTTTGACTGTCAATGGTACAATGTTTCGTTGCATCACTGTCAGTGGCAATGAGAGGTTATAAACGATAACATAACCTCTCGTAATTAAAATACTGTTGTAGGTAAAGTAGTGTACGCAATTCACGTAAACAGTGATAACGACATCGTAGAGGTTTTAAGAGTCGTGTCATTAACACTATCTTCACGCAATCGTTAAAAGCATTGTAAAGAAATGAAACTCATCCGATAGTTAAATAACTATACGGGTTTGCGTATGATATTTAAAAGCTTAGCAAGGCTAGAGTGACGTCACAGAGAGAGGAAGGCTTCATTTCACACACGAGCGCGTCTCCGCCTTGCAACACATCTGCTGAATATCAAACAACATGAGTTTATCAATCATTATACAAAATGGCTTCTACAATGAAAGCAACACAAAACGTTAGTCACTTAAACCGAAATTTTTATTTTTCTCTTCTTTTCCTTTTTGATTGGGTTTTTATATATTTTTTTTCTTTCTAGCAACATCAAATGTATTGAAACATTGAATAAAACAAACACAATACTACTATTTTGCAATTTTTTGGAAAAACTATAAAGTATTAAATTTAATAAATCACTGAACGTTCAAAGCTATAATATGTGAATTGGCACAATAAGAATTATTTAACAAATACATCATCACTAGTTGTTGGCAAACAAGAAACATTTGTCAGTGTTTATCATTTATTTGTTTTTAGTCACATATTGTTTCGACCTAATCGTATTAGCATGGATGTAAAATATGACACATATGATATTTAACCTACTGTTATCTTGGAATCGGTTAAAATAGAAATGACCACTAGCATTTTTTTTTAACGAATGTATGAAGTATGAAGTATAAAAATAAACATTTACATGATCAGTGTTATACCTTTAGTACTCATAATAATTCTTTTAATTAGTGCTTATAACAAGAAAGTTGTAGGGTAGTTTAGTTTTTTTCCATTTTGCATTTTTTGGGGATTTTTTTACATGGGCAACGTGAAACGGATTCCACTAAAGTTCAATTATAGAAAGAAAAAGTACTTAAGTGATATAATTTTAAAATAGAAAGAAGGTGGTCCTGGTTTTGGTTCACGATTTTGGCATTCTATTAAACACATTACTGGGGCTAAACGTCAATAAAACTTCAGTTCCAAAAGTAAATTTTAAATTGCTTTCAATTTATAATTCAAATTAAACTATATTTTATGCAAATAATATTTTTAAAACAATAGTTTATGAATTGGAAGAAGGGTTTGGTGAATGTTTAACAATATATAATTTTGGTATCACTTTACTGTTATAGTAGCTAGTATATTACTGTCGTGTTATATCTGATATTGAGAATCCTCACTAGATATGAATAACTACCGAACATAAATCATTTGACAGCCGGTTTTATATCTCATGTTACGGTATCAGGACGCGCATGCATCATCACACCTAATGTAATTTGATTTACGTGAAAATAGGGCATTTGTAAATCAAATAAATTATCAAATACTATTAATCAGTTAATTATCAGTAAGATATCTTATTACTTACGATTTCTAATACCTAGTCGTAAAACAAAAAATAGTTTAGGCATATTTTTCACTGTATATGGGTTTTACTAAATTAACTTTCAGATTACCAATTTTTGATAGCAGAAATATGAATTTTTCCTAAATCACTCTCCATATTGATATACCAGCGTATCCAATGCAAATTTTGCATTGCGACCAGCAAAATTATTATTTTATACTTAGACAACTAATTCCTTTTTCTGCTATCCTTCTATTGTAGAAATTGTGTGTGTTATCTTTTTCTTGCTCAAACAGTTGTTAGAACAAGATTTGAATTTATCTTGCGTACCCAGTGGGTTGTTATTTTTATACAATAGCTCGTTACTATTTGCAAAATGTATACATAAGCCTAAATTTGACTAATGATAAGAAATATAATGTAGAAAATAACTTTTTGTATTATAGGATAAATTTAAACTCCATAGTAGTAGTTTTCATACTATTTATTTCATGCTCTTTGACACCAGCGAAGGTCAGCGTCGGATCTCTGTCACTTCTGGGGCTGCACAGGGATCGATCCTTGGACCTGATCTCTGGAACGTGTCTTACGACAGTCTGCTTAGACTCGAAATGCCAGACGAGACCCGCCTCGTTGGCTACGCCGACGACGTCGCTGCTCTGGTTGCAGGCAGAACCGTTGAAGAAGCAGAGCTTAAACTTGGTATAGTGATGCTCCGTGTCAACGAGTGGATGCGGGACCACGGATTATCGTTGACGGTTGAAAAAACAGAGATCGTGATCCTAACCAAGAAAAGAATTCCCACCGTCCTTCCTTTGCAAGTAGGCCATGCCCAATTGGAGACCAAGCTGTATGCCAAATACCTTGGTGTTATGATTGACAGCAAAATGTCTTTCGGCGAGCAGATAAAGCGAACTGTTGACAAAGCCGCTAAGGGAGTTGTTGCCCTTAGTAGGCTTATGCCAAACGTCGGAGGCCCCCGCTCCTGCAAACGCCGCCTACTGATGTCTGCCGTCCAATCAGTACTCTTGTACGGCGCTGAAATCTGGGCCCACGTGCTGGAGAGGCGTGTCTTCCGTGACAGGCTCTCCCGTGTTCAGCGTCGAGGTGCCTTGCGAGTTGCTTCCGCTTACCGGAAGGTTTCCGAGCCTGCAGTCATGGTGATTGCCAGTGTCATCCCCGTCTTTCATCTCGCGAGGGAGCGACAGGCGATCTACCGTAGGAGACCTGAAGTAGATAGAGAGACTGCTGCCAGAGAAGAACGCAACCGCAGTTTCGACCGCTGGCAGCGTGAATGGGAAGCCGAGTCTCGGGGACGTTGGACCGCCAGGCTCATTCCTAGCATCCGACCATGGGTGGAACGGGAGCATGGTGAGGTTGGGTACTACTTGACTCAATTTTTTTCGGGTCACGGGTACTTTCGGGCCTTTTTGCACAGAATGGGGAGGGCTGCCAGCTCGGACTGTATGTACTGTCCAGGCATTGCAGACACGGCTGAGCATACCTTCTTCTTCTGCGACAGGTGGCATGTCCGCCGAGCCTCCTTGATCTCCGAGATCGGCGTCGACATTACTCCCGACAACATCGTTGGAGCTATGATACAGGGGGAAGGAAACTGGAACTGTGTAAAGCAGTTCGTTGAAGCCATACTTCGGGATAAGAAGGTCGACCTCGATCGGCCTTAGTTTTCTGAGGAAACCAGAAGGAAAGCCCTAGGGGCGTAGTATAAAAGGCCTCGCCCGAAGTAATGTGCGGAACAGTTCCAGGCTAGTGTCCTAGGAGACGAGGGGGTTTTTTAGCCGGTAGTCCGGGGACAATGAGCCCGCGGGAGTCCGGCACTACTGAGTGGCCATTGAGCACCTCAGTGTGCGTAAATGCCTTTTCACCTCCTCCCCATAAAAAAAAAAAAAAAAAAAAAAAACTATTTATTTCATGCTATGACAAGCTTTGTAGGTAAACAATCTTAAACAAAAATTTTAATTTGATTACAAATATGTTAGATAATTCTTTAAGAATACAGACAACCCACAATGTTTCTCAATTTATATGCTACAATCTTATAGGAATTCACAAAACTCTACATTATTTCTTATGTAAACATTTATGTTGCCACCACTTAAAAATCTAGCCTTTTAACACATTTTATAAAACGAAATTAAAACAAGTATATACAAAGTTATACCGTAGGAACACTACTCTAATAACAAAGTACATTAAATATGAATGAATGTAAATGAAGTGAAATTGTTATTTTTTAAGGAACAACTAAAGTAAAAAGTAATGTTTTCTCCTATGAGAATAACGATTTCCCATTATTTAAGAAGACAAAGGTCTAACTATTATCACATAATAGAGTTCGTAGGACATATAATCCTTTCTAAGGTAACCATTACATAAGGTAGCCTGGAGCAAGTAACATCTATTGTACTATCTTGTCGGCTTACTGGCACAATAGTAGTCTGTACTAATAGTTAGATAATAGCACGGATCAGTATTCCATTGATGTTCGACCCTCTATGTTCATGTCATTACATATTAAGTAATATATTAATTGAAAGCTCAAAGTTCACAGGTTATATCATGAAGATTTTATCCATCATCATTTTTCCAATTTATTTTTGTA